CATTTGCCGGGGCCACTGCCCGACCGTGTCCGATCACCTTGTTGTACTGCGTCACCGACTGCGCAACACAAAAAAAAACAGTACCGGTGTAACCGGGATTATTTACCCCCGTGAAATTTTACCCCCCTCGGTAAATTTTCTCTAGAGAAATTTTACCCCCCGGCAAAATTTCACTAGAGAATATTTACCTCCCGGTAAAATATTCCAGGGGTAAAATATATCTAGTGAAATTTGACCCCCCCCCCCCCGGTAAAATATCCCTAGAGAATATTCCGGGGGTAAAATTTCACTAGCAAATATTTACCCCCCGTTAAAATTTTTTTTTATATTCTTCCAATTTCTTAATTACTGAAGTTAATTTCATAATGATATGTGTGAACAATAATTAGGTATTATATTGTTTTAAACAAATCATGTCTTTTAAATGTATTGGTATAAATAATTGATTAATATAAATAAAACGTCCGTTTATATAGATTTTCGTATTGAATTTTTCACAATAACTGTTTGCAGCTGATAAAATTGTTTTTATTATTTTTACTCTTAGTTTGTATTTTTCATTGTTTTGGTTATTTTTATTACCTACCTATTCATTTGTATTTTTGATTATTTTGATTGTTTTTAATTTTAAATATTTTCATAATTAATTGTTTTTAATATTAATTTATATTATGTTACTTATGTCTTCTTACAATATCTAGTAAGACATTGTATGTAACTTATTAATAATTATTCTACACTCAAACATAAACATTTTAGAATATTAAACATTGACATTTATACACAATCGGTTATGAACAACTTGACTTTTAATAAAGACATTTTTATTAAAATAATAAATAATAATATACTTATTTGAGTTATTGATCGTATTTATATAATTTAACTTTTTTTTATTTTTTATTTTTTTTTTTTTAGAAATAATTTACCGTGGAGTACAATTTCTCTAGGGATAATTTACCGGGAGAGGTTAAATTTCACCCGGTAAATAATCACTTTTTTTTTTTTTTATTGAGCTCGAGCCCGGCAACTTTGGCCATTAGCTGTTGGTTTTTGTTTGTTTGTTTGTAGGTTGTTGTTAGTACGGGGAGGAACGGTTGAAAACACGTTTTTGCGGGTGTGGCAAGGATTCGTTGCTAAAAATCCCGGGTGGTCACCCATCCGGGAACTAGCAACGCCGGCGTTTCCGCAGTTGAGTGTACGCACTGCGCCACACCAAGCCACTAAATCTTTTTTATTTTTTGTTTCCCTCCTCAGATTCACGGCTGGGTGGCGCACGAGACCACGTGACCGTTGTATGGTTATAAAAAGTTATTTTAAGTTTTTATTTTGGAATAACTTATTCTCAAGGATGGGCATTAAAAAGTCAATTTAATTTAAACTATTTAACTTGACTAGTTACTTTTGTCTTTTCATTAACTTCACTGTTAACTTACTACATTTCTTTTTTAATTAACGTGAAATGAACGAATTAATTTTTCATTTCAAGAAGCAAGTCAAGTTAATTTATTATGTTTTTAGTTTTATTATATTTCTCTAATTCGTTTTCATGTCAACAAATATTTACCGTGAATTGTTTAAAGTTAAAAATGTATATCATTCGAATCTAACTTATATGGAAATACTTTATAAACATTATAGTCTATAATTAAGTTTTGGGTTGGAAACCTACGCTAGCATTGTATAAACAAATCAACTTTTTTTAACTTAATAAAAAGTTAACAAAAAGTGTCTATTAACTTTCAACTAACTGAGTTAAATTAACTTTTTGTTATTATTGCCTAGTAAGTTAACTTAACTGAGTTAAAAAAAAAAACCATTAACTCGCCCAGTCTTGCTTATTTTTATCCCATAATAATATACCATAGTATCGTTGCATATTAAATATACCATATGTGATATGTCCGCTAAAACTTTATACACTCCATAACTCAAGTTACCTACATTTCTTAGTACCCTATACATATTTTAGAATTCTGTCTGCAGGAGATTGATGATCCAATAGGTATCACAAAAAGAATTCAAAAATATGAGTGATTTAATTATACATAGTGACCTAGTTTTCGTGGACCGACGGTATAGTTAAACAGTTATTTCAGATACTAACCACGAAAATGAAGGCCAATACAATGGAATTTTTCAAAACAATAAAAATATAAACCTACTGTAAATTATAACCTAAACATTATCTAAAATCTAAAATTGTATACTTTACTCATTACTGATTTATTTATAAACTATCTTTTTTCTTATTTCTTTTGTCTCTGGCTGTAAAAAAAATGTAACGCTAATGGCCCCTGTTGTCGAAGCGGAAATTTAATTGTGTAAATTTCAAGATCAATAAAAAAAAAATAAACAGTTATTTCATTTATTTCATTTGATTTTACTAAAACTCGTAATAGTTAAAGTTACTGCCTATATTATATAGTTAAGTTTGAAAACTCAACTGCATTAACGAAATCAGTTCTTTCTGCGATTGTTTCAATTATAAGCCGTCCAATGGTTGTGATTCGATTTTGGATAAGACGTTTTCTTTTTATCAGCATAAAAATATGTAATTTTAACCCAGCTTTTACAATTTTTTATTAGCATTGTTATTCGTATAATTATTCGGTACAGGAAATTTAACGTACTTCCGATTTATTTGTATTGTTATAAAATGTATTTATTGAAACGAATTAAGATTTGTTGTCTTATACTTTTATAGCATCTAAAATATATAATCGACGTCGTAATAATTTTCGCACATTACCTATATCAAAATTTCCCATATAATAAAATAATGAAACATTGGTCATAGTTATTGTTCATTAAATTCACGTTACGGGGATAGTGTTTTTTAATAATGTCCAGAGTTCGTTTTGAGTCCACTGAAGGACGCATTTTGTCTGGTATAAAAGTTTACAGCGATTATTTAAAATGTATTTTGTTTGCTCACGAGCCTATTTCTAGAAACTATATTGTAGTACATTTAAAGTTGAAATAGTGCATAAATTCGTCATACTTATTGGTTGAATAATTTACTTACAATTCTACTTATTACGATATTATTTATTTGATATAATTTGATTTATTATTTTAACATGGATATATATTTTCTGTGCACGAAACAAAATTTGTTTTACTCAACAATTTTTTTCTAACCGTTACTGTTAATATTGCAACTAAAAAATTAGTAAAAATAACTACAGTTATTCGGCATTCTTCTAGGCAAATAACTACCAACCGTATGCACAGTAATTTAAGTGCAGTCACCTAAGCACAGTCTCTTAAAATTGCGTTATATTAATGTTATTACGGGCTATGAATTCATAGAATAACAACACATGATTGCCGTATGATTAGTAGTTTCGACCTTACACAATATAAAAAATATAAACAGAGTACCATAAGAAAAAAAAACTGGTAACGAATTTGCGGAAAAACTAAAATAGACATTTATATTATATAACTATACACCTAGAATCCTTATAAATTCAGAAAAACTATAGTATTAATCGATATTCATAATCATGAAACTGTCTTTCGCATCTCTTACGAAAACAACAACTATCCACGACCACACCCAAAGACACCTGTAACAAGTCAAAGGTTCCGAAATTATTTATATGGGAGCCCGGAGCACAGCATATTCGGATGTACCATAGCCGTTGAGACCTGAGCACTTTCAGCCTCTCACAAGGACACAACTTGTACACTTTTATAATTTTTGCTAAATTTAAATAGAAATAACTGTCATTATATTTACTGTTGAAATTGTCTTCAACTATTTACTAAAAAAAAACCACCAAAATCTGGATCTCTATTATAGCAGTCCAAAATGTATCTATACAATAATTGTTGTAAACTATTTAAACGACTGAAAAAATTAGTCATATATAACCTTATAATGTCAGCAGGTTTTGTATTCCCCTCAAGAATCTTTCATGATCATTAATCTGTTAAATATTAACCGCCTCATCACCAAGAAAGATTTTAGCTAATGAAAACATTGTGTTAAAAAAATGTGTGAATTATTGTGAAAAGTATTTAATTATATTTACCTAAATAGTCATTGTCCGTACAACTGTAAAAGCTTTCGAACGCGAATTTAAAATATTTGATAGGAAAGATATGTATACTATATAATATTATAATCCATAGTAATATGTATACCGGGCTGCATAAACAAGGTCAACAGTAGTCCCTTAAACGTGATTTTATTGCCCATTAAAATTTAGTGAACCACTAAATTAATCAATTTTCTCGTGCAACCTTGAGATGATCTTTTACAATATTATCATAATATGCTAAGTGCTAATACTTTAACAGGTGTCTGCAGGTACAATACCCTATCCCGACACACTGCTTTGTTTCGTATGAATATTTTTCCTTGATGTATATAAATAGATAGATACTACCTGCAGCTATTTTTCTAACCACCCGAGCAATCATTTCACATAGGTATACCTACATATTATTATATGAGTGTATTATACAGTTACGGGAGAGATAGTGCAAGTACACCTACCTATAGGTACATTCGTGCAGATTCGAGAAAAATTGCCCGTGTCGGAATGCGGAGGTATTTAAAATTGTATTTACGAAAATCGCGAACACGTGACTGGTTGGCTTTCCTAAAAAATTACACTGTTGGTTTCCCAAACGTCGTGTCCAAGACGACCATTTGCCCCGTCCGGATGCGTACACAGCAGACGCGTTTTTTATAATAGATACCTAGGTATAATATGGTACTGCAGTGGGCGTCGGGGATATAATAACACAACAAAAACGACAACAAATTGGTCGTAAAACATATTTTACTGTATGAAACAAAAAGAGCCGGCTAGCGATATATTGTACAGTAGGTGTATATATTATGCAGTGTATACTATTATAATAATATCGTGTAGACGTGTAGATATTATTGTTATTATTATAGGCATGTCATCGTCTTATTTGGCTCTATTGATATCAATACACTTTGTAAGGTCTATATTTTTTTTATGCGGTCTCTTCTGTCACGGATTATGCGATATCTGAAAGCTGTGCGTAGAGTGTCTTGGAAAATGTTCGGTAAACGAATTTGGCGTACGCTGAAAGAAAAACAAAATTTACTAAACAACCGGAAGTACTATAGAGAAACAATTATAACCTTTCGGTTTAAATTCATAATATATTGCGTACGGCCAGAATTATTCGGTAAAAGATATTCGTTTGCAAACGGTTTTATTGTAATAACATTACATCTTACATTATGGGACGGCCATTAGCGGATCGGTGGAGTAAACATTTATTATATTATACAGTCACAAAAACACAATTATGCATACCACATGAAATGAAATCAATACGATTTAGGAACGACGTATTTGAGATTTTATATAAAATAAAAAAATTTATAAACATAATAAATATAATTCTATATTGATTATATGAATGATAAAACGCAAAGATCGATCGTAAATAAGGACGAACGTACATTAGTTAAGTCAAGCAATTTTCGACTCCACGGTCGTGAGAGAAACGAATACGTGACATGCACAGGCCTTTACAAGTATGTCCTAACCATAGACCTATTAACTAGTTCCTAACCTAACCTATATTATATTATGCAGCAGCAGTTGTCCAATGTATATCTTAACCATCCATACCTATATAATATCGTCGGTGAGAGTATTAATATAATAAACGAAAAATGAGTCTTTAAACAGTCGCCAAAATTATAATATTATTAAATTGTGCCTGTGTGCATATTTTTAATGTAGGGTTGTAGGAGCGTGTGTCTAAAAAATTGAAAACTTCAAATACTCTAAAACGATAGCATATTATATTATCATAATTGCAAATATATGCAAACATTATATTATAATTTGTAAGCGGTTATTGTTGGTACCTATATAGGAACACTTGATGGCATTGCTCATCATATTATATTTATCATAAAAGGCGTCGAGTGACATTTAAAAAAAAATGTATGTATCAATACAGTCGAAATCTCGAATTCAAGTTACAATACAACATATCCACAGTAATTAATCAAAAATCAAGGCATGTCAGGGTAGTAAGTATTAATAAATAGGTCTATGAAAGTGCGTAACGGTCAAATGTTTGTTTTTTCCTTCTTCGATATGCAGAAAAATAAGACTCCACGAATTTTTTTACAGAACATTCGAGAGGTTTTGTGTTATCTCCTGTCTCCGATACAAATGTTGAAATGTATACAAGGTGATTGATTAAGCGCAAAACACTCATTATCTCAAAAAGCTCAAAAATCTCTATGCGGGCATTAGGGTGGATCGAATTAATATAAAAAAAATTTTTTTTTGTCTGCCGGACATAGCCTTATGCGTGACTATTATAGGGGGGGGGGGGGGGAAATTTTTTTCGACAGCACATAGTAGGTATAAGGGTCGATATGGTTTTGAAATTGGATACCATTATTTCGGTATTATAGAACCGATATACCGAAAAAAAAAACAATCAACATGTTATTAAAGGAATTGATTGAACGGTACTTGGCGGTATACCGTTCAAGCGGTATTCGAGCTATTATATAACCGGTAAACTGGAAAAACCGTCAACCCCATAAATAGTGCGGTTATCTAATGACACCAACAAGTCCTACACTTGCCCCGGGACAACTCGGAGAGTATAGGTTTGATAATTTATCTCAACCAACCTTGAAATTTGCGGTGACAGGCTGTTGCTTTTCGCCGGTCTGCAGTTTGGCCACGTTGTTGACCAAGTCGATGTCCACGTGCTTGACGACGTTCGGTTCATGGTGGTCGGGCACCCGCAAGTGTATCACGTTGTAAGCCGGTGGCTGTGCACTACGGCCACCACCGCTCTCGTCATCGTCGTATTCCACGTGCTGCTGCTGCTGCTGCTGCTGCTGTTGCTGGTGTTGCTGCTGATGATATTGCTGGTGCTGCAACTGCTGGTGCTGCAACTGCTGGTGTTGCAGCTGCTGTTGCTGTTGGACGACCGCGCCGTGCTGCACGTACTGTTGGATCTCGGCCGGCATGAACGACCCCAGGCCCCGAGGCTTGGACGACGGCACGAACTGTACGCGGCCGCCGGACGCGGGCCTACGTCCGCCGCCGCCGCCGCCCTGCTGCAGCACGCCACTGCTGCCGCCCGCGTTACCGTGCTGCTGTACCAGGTAGTCGCCGGCCTGCTGTAGCTGCTGCAAGTGCAACTGGTGCGCGGCGTTGTGCAGCAATGGATGGTGGCCGCGGTTGTGGTGGTCGAGCGGCGAATGGCGCGGCGGCTGCTGGACCGGCTTGTGCCCGTGCCCGACGACGCCCACTTTGCCGAAGTGCTTGTGCCCCATGTACCCGAGGTGCTTGTGCTGGTGGCCGTACGCGCCGCTGTGCTTGTGGCTGTGAACGGCTTTGCCCGCGTGCCCGTGCTCGTGCGCCACCTTGCCGCTGTGCTTGTGGTCGTGCACCACTTTGCCGGAGTGGATAAGCGGTATGCCCTTGCCGGCCAGCTTGTACGTGTGCACGTGATTCACGTGCTGCGGCACTTCTTTGGGCACCACGATGATGATCCGATGGTGTCTGTACGAAACGTCAACGTCCCATATTATTGTAACGAAATTATTGTATAATATTGTATGGAAAATATTTTAGATAATATTATATGGGACGTTTGCACGTCTCGATTTTACGAACAAATTTTTTTATTGGCCATTTGCGCATAACTATACTGTTGTAGAAAACATTGAAAAATAATTAAAATACAATGAGGATTTTTTTATTGGTCTATAGCCCGGCTACTTTTGCCAATAGCTATTGTAGGGGTTACGGTTGGTATGGTTGGTTGGCAACACGTGACAAGATTTTTGCCACTATGGACCCGGGTGGTCACCCATCCGGGAACTGTAGTGGTAGCAGTCGTCGCTTACTCTCAATCACTTTGCGTCATTGATTTCAGCCACTGCGCAGCGCCCAGCCACAAATATAATGTGATCATCTGATTTTGACTTTAGCTTCGTTAATTGGTTAGATTATTTACATTCACAAAGAAATAATTACATTATTAAAAAAATCTGGTAAGTGCGAGTCGGACTCGCGCACGAAGGGTTCCTAACAATCATAACTTAACCATCATCAGCTATAAACACGTTGGCAACACTACTTTTATTTTATATTCTAGAATTTTTAGTATTTGTTGTTATAGCGGCAACAGAAATACATAATCTGTGAACATTTCAACTTTCTAACTTTCATGGTTCATGAGATACAGCATGGTGACAGACGGACGGACGGACAGCGGAGCCTAAGTAAGAGGGTCCCGTTTTACAGTACGGAACCCTAAAAAGAGGGTAAGTTGATATCGCTCTGCTGTACAGTAGGTTACAAGCGGGTCAATGTATAATGGATTGTATTGAACTTGAATTCAATGATATAATATCATTGTATAAGGAAAACTATTCTGAGCGGAGACGGTTTGTAAGTCTGGACTTTTTATATTTTTATTATTTATTATAGCCTGTATGTTGAATTAGTATCTCATAATATTATTATTTTTTATTCGTTGCTATGGTGATAATCAAAGCGTTAGAAATTAAAATCCCATTTTTATCGGTTTTTCGTAATTTGTAGGTAGTATTTCCAGTGGCATTAAATGAATATTGGGAAAATCGAAAAATGACCTCTCTAAGGTACCATCTTGATCCAATTTGCTAAAAGATAAGGTACTATTTGTTGAGATCGAAGAACTCCTTCTGGTAGAACTTTTGTATACAGGATATAAAAAATAAAATAAACACCATTGTAAAACCACTAGCTCCGCTCAGAATCTAAAATATTGCGATATAAAACCTTTTTTTAAATATTATATCTATAAATAATATCATAGTTTGACTGTATAGAATAAGATTCGTTTTAATTGGTTATTCTTAAAAAAAAAACTGAAGTAGGTATATATAATTCGTATTATGTTTATCAGCCGTTCATGTCACCGTACATTAGTCTCAATACCTAATTATACACAAGCCATTAATGTTATAAGCATATTTGTTACAACACGTGGTATGTCTATACGCAAATGACCAACCAAATTTTTTACCTGGATGATTAATGATTTTTGTTTTAATAGTCGAACAATGTACATTTGTATCTATATACTAAAAATGCGACTTTTAAGCTGGCTTTATGTGTATAATCTGTACTCACGGAGCAGTAATTTATTTTTTATTTGTAGAACTATATAGTGTTTCCCGATTTCGGTGTATATTATTTATTGATCATAAGACTTAAAAGTGTAATTTAATGTACTAATAAGGACCAAAAGAGTGTAAATTCGATTTGAAGAAATCATAAAAATTAACTTCAACAAAATAATATAATAATCTAACATGATTATTATATAGCAATTTACTATTTCGTTTGGTCCTAAATAATCACAAAAACACAATTTTCACGGTATAATATTATTATTTAACTACAAATCATAATATGCTTTCACACTAGTCTCGAAAACAATATGCAGTTTATGGATAAATAATGTAAATGTTCGACTTACTCGTGATCTTCGGCAGCGGTGATTTCGTCTTGATATTCGTCAGAATTCGGAACTTCTCGTCTTGGTATCGTGTCTTCCGAACTGCAAACCGTCGCCGTGAAGATACAACTGATCAACAAACCGTGCCAAAATTGTTCCTGACACGCAATAACAACGATTACAGACAAATAATTATTGTTTTAAATTGAGGTGGTGATGTTTGACCACTAAAATAAACACGCCGAGTCGATGACGAGTGCAGGCGACAATTTTAAATTGTTAAATTGCTGTTAAGTTTGAAAATACGTCATAATATTATGGACTTAATAACTGTATAGACTCCCGGTTTTCAGCAAACAGACTCAAGTTGTCGCAATACAGATTTAACCGAAACGGCAAGGCGACATCTAATTGGACGTAATTATTATAAACGCGAAACCGAAGAAATACGTTCTCCGGCGAAGCGTTCGGATCTAGGAAATGACCGTCGCCAGCAATAATATCGATCGTTAGTTGATCAAAAAATAAATGCTTTCCACAACGACAGAAATATTATATAATATTATGTGTATTTGAGCAACAATAATTCCTATGGGGAAACCAATGCAACATAATTGGCTGTAAACTACGTCGAAGTAGACAATAATCTATATAGTATTGAGTGTGCGTGAAATCATGTATGTAGGTACATCGCATTATAATATATACAACTGAAACAAAATCGGTTGCCCGTACTGTGTGCGCGGAAAAAATAAGACCAAAAAAAAAACCCCAACGAATATTTTTCGATTTCTAAACGTTGTAATCGGACCTCGAGAGTCGATCGGAAAAACTGTATAGGCCTTGTACGTATAATATATGCACACTCGTGCATTAAGAATTAGCTGGATATATTATTATGTACAAGGCACATGCTATACGTGACAGGTTCTCTGTGCACGTCCACCCTGGATCTGATTTCGACACATTTCCCGGGACGATTGGGGGAAAAAACCAACCGTGGAAAATCGGCGGAGTGATTACAGGTCCAGCTAGCGTTCCGGTTCCTGACCAGACCCCGACTGAGTAGTCCGCAAACCGAATTCATATCGACGACAAAATCGAATGTGTGTAAACGGTAGCCGACCTGCAGCAATGACGTCACAACGGTATAGTTATTGTTTTCCTTCTGTCGTTTAAAATCAAAACAATAACCGTGATCGGTTATAATAACTCGACAGTATTTCGACAAATAATACCGCGAAATATTCGATATTAAAACGCACACGGACACCTATTATGGATTATCTGTTGATCGTGTTTTGTTCATCATCCGTCAATGAAAAAATGCAAAGTACATCATAGGTCAGTGGATTTTTTATACCGGTAAACTAGGCGACACAAATATCGCCCAAGAAAATATTTTGTCACCTAGTTGACTGTATTTTTAAAGGCTGGGCGACAAACAATTTTCAAAAGAAGAATTTTTATACTCTGTAATAAAAAAAAAAAAATGTAATGAATGCATTTGTAGGCACCTACCCACCAACATATTGTAATTTTATTTATATTAAATACAAAATTAATTTATTATTGTAGAAGCGAAGTTACAATATTCCAGACAGACCAAGAAACTTATGTAAATCGATCATCCGTCAACAAATTTTTTGAAAAATAGTATAAATATTATTAAGTTTAAACATGATTTTGTTTAGTATAACAAGTGGTTATTTATATAAATAATAAAAATGTTAATGATTACTTATTAGATTAATTTAATATTATTATTATCTTCTTTGAAATTACCTATTTTATTTTAAAATAATCATAACCCTTTTTTATTAACTTTTACCATTTATTTCTTGCACTAAAATTAATTTTTAATTATTATGATGGACGAGCATGATATAATTAGTTTATCATACTATGATTTATCGACTATTTATTTTGAGAAAAAAAATTTATTGTCACCCAGTGAAGATTCCTCAAACAATGCACTGACATAGGTATAATACTATGCGTGGGTACTCACATTATAGGTACTATTAGTCATTACAAGTAATTAATCTGAGTATACCTTTAACGTAAACACAGATATTATTATAATCACACAGTCACGAGTTATAATATTGAAATACCTAGTGTCTAGAAACTAGAAAGTACTGAAATCTGTGGTGGGAGTAACGTAGGAGGATAACGATCGACGATCCAACAGCGACACTATTGACCTCAACTACCGAAGTGTAAGGCATCAAAGGCGATTTCTCGCTCCGGACAGGGTTCGATCGATCGGTCGATGTGATGATCGATCGTCCAAACCAGAAATACGAAAACAGTAAGTTTAATAATATAATTAAGTCTACGGTTCGCATGCGGAAAGGTCGTCGCGGGTCCGATATAAATATAATAATATAATTGATAGGTATTATGTGAATTATGAAAGTGGTGAAGGTGCTGTAGACAGAATATAAGGCTATGTATGTAATCATTTTTTATCAATTTTTAAATAATATTAGACATTTTTACACGTTTTCTCGGCTGTGATAAAACATGTGAGGAGGGTGTTTGAACCCCTAAACTTCCGGTTTTATGATTTGTTAATATTATATGTATTAAAATATTATCCGTGTATACTTTACCATTTTATGCGTTTGTGTCGACTAAAATGCACGTACGACGACGTGGTCTTCTAGCTATTATCTACGATAGGTGCACTGTTCAAAGTATATGGTTTTGTACACGTATAATGTGCTATATTATATAGGTTAGCTATATTATGAAATATACGTTATTGAAAATACATTTCATCGGACGGCGGCGCACTGGGTGCGTACGGCATTGTTACGGAAAAGCCAATCGAGATGACGACGAAAAATATAAAATACACCGCCGCCGCCGAATCGAACAAGTATATTATTTTATTATAATATTATTCCGTATAAACGAGTTGAACTTAGGTATCGCGCGATGTATATTGGCTGATGTTATGGCAAACGCGTGTTGAGGTTCGGCCGAACGGGTAGACTACATGTGACCAGAAGTAGCCGGCGTTTTCACTTTTAATCGCGATGGTGGTTTTCGCTATTTCGGCGGGGGGAAAACGCTCGAGCCATCAGCGGGAGACTGGAGTTTTCCCGCAAAACCGTCTTGGAAAAACAGTTGCGCAAACACCGCGAAAAATCGTTGCAGCCGTGGTCCAGCCTACTGTAATTCATAACATACCTATTTTGATATTACATTTATGATATTGCAGTGTTGATGTGTGCAGCAGTAAGTTCCAGGAGACAGGGTCGTCCTTAGGGGGGAGGGTGAGCAGGGCCTAGCCCCCATCGCACTTTTTGCTTACATTTGGAGGCCTCGCGTTTGAAAAAAAAGTGATAAAATTGGTTTTCTCCCTGGGCTTTGAAAATCCTAAGAACGGTCATGCCAGGAGGGGTCCCTATATACCGGTGTTCATCCAAAGCCACTTGAGATGATGTTGGATTTTCATCTTGTTATTTTCGAAAGAGGCGTCTTCATTTTTTCACCGATATCAATGTTGGTATACAGCAGGATATTAGGCATAATTGGTTTTTAGTTGCTTCTAGTTTCTACATACTCAAAAAGGTTTTTCCACAGATATCGCGGGGACGAGGTAATTTCTCAGCGAGTATAATATATTATTGAACTATGTCCACATCGCATTGGAGTTACGATCATTTCACATCGATCACTTCATATCATACAGTCTATAATATGAAGTGATCGTAGTGAAATAGAATAAAAACTAAAAAAGTAAACATTGGAAATGTCTATAAAAAAGAAAATATATTTTAAAAATGTTATCATGTCTAGAAAATGATAATATAAATATTTGATGACAATTAGTTATTCCTTTTTGAATTATAGGTTTGTTTTGCACAAATATTTCTGTTTTTGTTAGTTTTTTTTTTCTTTTTGCAATTATTTTGTAAGTTTTTGTAAATTCATTCTTTTGGTCCAACTAGATCCAATAATTTACTATCAGAAACTCGGATATTATAAATATTTACTACTCCAAAAAGATTTTTCAGACAATAAAAAAATCACATCATTATGAAACCTCTAAGAATCTAATATTATTTTGTTGGGGCTTGAAAATAATTTGAGTGGCTCAATTTCTGGAATTCCCACTGCCTATATTCACTGCAGAGAGCTTGATCATAAACAATCATCGTAGCTATAGCTATCTCTATAGATATCTCCATATTATATATATTATTTTATGTAATCTTATTCGGAACAAAACTTAACAACTACTTAAGCCTTTCACTGCTAATAATAATAATAATAATAATAATATGTATCCTTCAACGTAGGTAAGCGACTTTGTGGTGCTGTGGACACGTCTTATCATTTCAAAAATTAACAATAAATATTTAATTAATGTGATAACATGACCATATAATAAATGATTTGACAAATTCAAATAAACACAAAAAAACCTAATATCTATTGAAAAAAAAATATAAAAAATTGAAAAAAAATTGTATCCCAGTACCTACAGTTACCTACATAGTACCTACGTTATGATGGGGACTAAATAATGGACATTAAATAAAAAAAAACCCAAGGGTCAGTCCTGTGTAGATACGTCGTCCAATTTATTTATGTATTATGTGATAGCTATACTTAGTATTATATATTATACACTACTTAAGTATATATTATCCGGCTCCGGTGTTCCGGAACAAATACGCTGTAGATATGCTTGTGATTCGGTGCTGTCGAAAAAATTTACATCGATTCGTATGGATTAAATAATATGCATATAGGTACCAATAATAATGTGCGTAATACGCATTATAACAATATTTATTCGGGTGTACATGACACAACATATAACGTACATGAAAATTATAGAATTTCCGTTATTATATTATATTATATACTATGTATAATGTATAAATATATATATTGTAGCTATCTGATACAATATACTATACCTATATTATATTTATAGGTATCTATTTTTCTTTACAAACACGACGTGTGCCAAATAATGTGTTATGATTGCAGTCAAAACATAAGCGGTACACGACTATTATTTTAGGATTACGTTGTAAACACACAAAAGTGTACAATATAATACGATATTGTGGCGGTCCATAAGCCAATAAATACAACCGTTTTTTAGGTTACACACGCGTTAAACGCCGCGGATCATTTCTTTCTCTCTCGGTGCAATATAATACACAATAATAATAATAATATTATAATGTGTAATGCGTGTATGAGCGAATGTGCAGGCGACTGTACGCGGATTATAATAATACGTATACGTACGAGTCGCTGCGGTTGTTGGGAAATGTTGTTTTGATTTTTTATCTTACACACGAAGGCACGTGTATTGTATACATATATATATAAAATACAATATTATATGTATCAATTATGTACACCAAAGCAGCTATTAACGTGTCACTGTCGCAGTGTCAAGAGATATATAGGTTATAGGTGTGAATATTAAGCGATATTGTTTAATAATTTAAACTTTAAATTGTTTGGTAAATTTTTGATTGGCATTTAAATTCTATCACAGTTTTATTTAAATAAACAGTGTATATTGTATGTATTACGTGTTTATATGTTTATATTTATATGCAGGGTACTCTATAGTTTTATACCTATAAAAAATAGTATATCTACCACCTACCACCCATTTAAGACCAAATCAGTGTACTTGTTTTAGTTTCTTACTTATTATTCCAACTGAAATTATTATCATTCACTTGTGTACAAGCAACTGAATATTGTTGAATACCTATTCTGAAGAGGACCATTTCATTGTAGCTATACAGGGTGTCCCGTGAGGATTTACTCATTGCGATATCTCCTGAAATAATAGAGATATCGTAATTCTGTTTTATTATAAAGACTCACAGAGGTAAGCACTACAAATAACTAATTTTTTTTTTTTTTTTTATGTTTTGGTAAAAAAGTTAAAAAAATTATTTTTTTAATTAATTATTTAAAAAAATATTGAAGATTGCCATTTTTTAGAGTTCATTTTTCTGAAAATATTGACGTTTCAACATTTTAATTTCATTAATTTCCTGATTTTTAATAATTTTTTTAATTAATAAGTAAAACGGCAAAAAAACCGGTTTTTGTCCGGGCAGCGAGTCCCCCTCTACGGCTAATAGGTAAATCCTCACGGGACACCCTGTATAGTAGAGTAATGATACAATTATTATTTGTCGTGAATTGTTGAAATATAATATATTATGCACTTAATCGCTATCATCAAACGCTGGCTATCCCATTCAATTGAATTGACAAGTGATTTGTAAATAAGTATATTTTATTTTTTATTTAACATATATATAATGCAACAAAAATATTATGCACTTAGTAGCCAATTGGTAATATATCTTGTAAATATTTATGACACGTCAGAGTAACTACCTTGAATCAATAACACAGGATAAACACAGATTTTCCATCCACCAAATCTTAACTATACTCGTCGTCTCACAGAGTCAGACGACCTCATGCCATTGCCGTACCGAGGATGGTACACTGTTCCAGTAGCACAAACTCCTGTACCCATCTTAAAGAGTCGCCTCCCCAAAAGCCGATAGGAGCCACCTGCGTCGACCCACGTTATGTTATAGCTTCCTGCCCGTCGCCTTCAATATCGGCTGACAAGTGACAAGTCTGGATCCTCCAGTATCCCAATTTTTTCAGAAGACTTTTCTTCGACGACATCAACATTGATTCGCACTGAATCACTGGCAGGACAAAGTTTAATAATCTCGGGCCACCTCGTGTAAGGTAAAAATAAATGGTTCATTTAACTACTAATTAGCTGTGTAACAACTGTAACTTAGTAAACTATACGTCTTAAAACGACAAGAGACAAATACTGAACGAATAATGTGTATAAAAGTGGGGCAATAGTTAATAGTTATGTACTTATGTACTTATGTACCATAATACTTACCAGTTTACCACGAATTTGTACTACATAAACAATATTGTGTACGTAGTTGCCTACTTATAAAATTGATTAGGTTGTTGTGTGTGTTTTTTATTCACTTCAAATTTACAGCTACAAACAAATGACCTTGGCCCGTGACGAGAGTACTTACCTATATCTACACATAATATTAAAACATTATAAAAGGTGTAGGTATGCACGAAAATTCAAAACAATAACAACCGGAAAAACGACGTTTTAGTGTGATGAAAGTAAACGCGTGTACTTGTCAATTTGCAATTAAAATTACGCTTACAGCCGTATTATAGGCCGTAAACGCTGACACGCACACTGACCAGGACTTCGCAATACAACAATAAACGCACATTATAGGTACAATATAAAAATACATGACATAGTTTACTTGTATATAGTTCAGTATACCTACATTATACAGAGTGAAAAATAAATGATGGTCTTTCATATTTTATTCGTAATATATATATTATGTATAGTATATAACCTACCAAGTAGGCATTTAGGTAAGTCTCATTTGTTGAATGATGGTGCTATTTGTTTTTATTCTCAAAATTGAAGTTTTTCAGCATTATAGTGCCCGGAAACCTCTTCCCATTATTGGTATGCTATTTTTCTAAGTCTCGATTGAGCGGTTATCTATTTGAGTAGATAACCGTGAGCTCTATCAAGTACCTATATATCATATTGTGAAGTACTTTTATCTGTTGCCTGTAAGTTGGCAGCCGCTTCCTATAAGTTTTAACGTTGTAAGTACTATTATTGCGTATTTCATGTTTTTTGGTTTATAAATTATACTTAAAACTAAACTGCAATCTCTGTCATTCTTTACTTTGTATATTTATGTACAATGAAAAGATTATTTACATATTTTTTTGATAAACCTTTATAGGTTGCAGCAGTCTACATAATAATATTATACCTAGTTAAAAATTTATTTTTTTCACTTTTTAAAATATTTGGACTTTAATATAACTTGCCTTTCTTTTTTTTTTAGTTGACTATTATTTAATTTAAATGAATTATAGGTTTTTAAAATGTCATTATTGAAATAAAAAAAATAATAACAATTCATGATTGGTATCACAATTCACAAATAAAGTTCTTAAACTCAATCATTTTTTTTTTTTTATATATATTGAACTTAAGCCCTGCGACTAAGGTCATTAGCTGTTGTAGGGGTTATGAATAACTGTGGTAGGGGTTAGGTTGGTATGGTACGTTGTTTTTACGATTGCTTTTTACGGTAGTTATGGTAGGTAGCAAACACGTGTATGTGTGGCAAGGTTTTTAACTACATACTATGAAGCCGGGTGGTCACCCATCCGGGAGCTAGTAGCTGTGGCCGTTACTTACTCCCAGTCACATACCGCGACCAACGCGCCACGCCAAGCCACTCAAACGATTTTATTTAATTATAAAAATAGGTATTAGGTAAGCCAAAAATTATTAATTTTTTTAATAACATCAAACTAATTTACAATTAACATCAAACAATTACTAATTTTAGTTAAATTAAAAATACTTTTTAAATACTATTTGTGGATACAAAATAATAAAGAACCTCACAATCAAATATATAATGATATATATCATTGGATATGTATGAATGTAGCAGCTTCATTTGTATCTTTGTCAGAATATTTAATTTGAGTTGACATCTGTATATTGTTGTCTATTAAAACTCTTTGAAAATTACAAAAAAAACACATTTATTTACAAATTAAAATTAATATAATGTGCAAATAACCTATGAATGCAATTTATTTTACCTCAGCTGCTATACTATGTAACAATCTGGCGTTATTTGGGTCTGTTTGTTCTACCATTTTGTACAAATATCCATTTTTGTTTTCCAACAAAGTATATGGGTGGTCGAATTCAACTATTGTACCACTGTCCATTACAATTATTTTGTCAGAATCCATAACAGTGATCAAACGATGAGCAATCGTTAATACTGTACACGTTCGAAACTTATTTCTGATAGTATTTTGTATCAAACCGTCAGTTCTGAAAATTGAAAAAACACATAATTTAATCAAATGTTTTATAAAAATATTTTTTGGTATCAAAATATTATTTTTATATTATTTTTACTGTGGATCCACATTGGCAGTGGCTTCATCTAATACAAGGATTTTATTATTTCGTACAATAGCTCTAGCCAAGCATACTAATTGTCTTTGACCAACACTCAAATTGGATCCACCTTCGGATATTTTTGAGTTCAGGCCATCAGATAAATCGTCCACAATATCTTTAAGTTCCACCTAAAAATGATAATATTAAATAAATTATCACAGTTTTTACTTCGTAGTGTTGTTGTGGATTTTTCAGTTGTGTGGTTGTTTATTATTAATTTATGTACTTACTTCATCTAAGGCTTTCCAAAGAACATGATCTGAGTATTCATCGAATGGGTCCAAGTTTTTTCTCATTGTTCCAGAAAACAAAACAGGTTCTTGAGGAATGATGGACACATTAGATCGCAAGTCATGTAATCCCAATTCATGTATTTCTATACCATCGATAATAATACTACCCTCGTTAAGAGCTAATCTAAATAATGCTCCAATCAAAGATGATTTACCAGCACCAGTCCTTCCAACAATTCCTATCTAAAAAATACGACACCATTAACAAGAATTTAGAAAATGTTATTACTTATTATACTACAATATAATAATATGAGTATAATATTATATGAAGTTGTATCTAATGATATTATGTGTAATTAGGAGATGACCCTCATAATTACATGAGAAGACTTACATTTAATGAGAATTAAAATCATTTTAAAATCTCTATAATGGTCCGAACGATGTATTATTATTTATTACTACTATTAGCTCGTAACAGTAAATTCTTAAAAATATGAGTATTGAGTATACCTCCCCGTATTTTAATTTTTGAAATAATATAGATACCTATATAAACCTATATTAACCTATATAAATATTAAGTAAAAATATTATGGCATAATTTAACCCAAAGTTTCATTATAATTCACTAGGGCATAACTTTATTTATAAGCAATTAGGTAGTTCATTTTAGATTCTGAGTGAAACGATGAATGTATTGATTTTACAATGATGTGTGTTTTTTTAGATTCTGAGCGGAGCGATGAATGTATTGGTTTAACAATGATGTGTGTTTTTTTTTTTTTATATTTTTGTGTCTGTCATCACGTTTTAGGACAGTAAAAGTGCTTGGATTTTCTTCATCAGTAGCTTTTCTGATAGGAAAGTGAATCTAGTTGGTACTTTGGGGGGTCAAAAGTATAAATTTCCCAGTAGTTTTCACAAGCGCCGGGAAAAACAACATAAAAATTAAGGAAAAACGGGAATTTTTACGCAAAATTGGTTTTCCAAAAAATCGATTTTGGTTATTGGTGTAAATCTAAAACAAATGAACGTATATACATGAAATTTCCACTGGTTGTTTATATTTGCATTTTCTATACACGATAACATTTTCAAAATATTTTGATTTATTTTGAACTGTTTAGGGACATTTTCATTTTCCATTTTTTTTTAGTTTTTTTTCTAAAAATATCAATAAAATTTTATTTGTTGGTTGCGAAAGCTTGAAAAATTAATAGAAGGCTCCTAATATGTTGTTTCAAAGGCAGATGAAAAATATTAAAAATCCTTAGTCACAATTTTTTTTTATAAGCATTTAAAGTTCAAAAATTGACAAAATATGAAAACATCACGAAAATTAGCAAGTTATTTTGAGTTAAGAATTCGTAAAAACTTTTCTTTTTAAATCTAAGATTTGAAAATGAAACACAAGATTCCTTATAAGATTATCTACCTTTATCAATAAAAAAATCTCTACCGGACAGTCAAATTAAATTTTTATGAGCGTTTGAAATTCAAATTTTTACAACATTGGATATTCACTTGATTTCTCATGTAACGATTTTCTTATTTTGTTGTAATTCAAAAACGAATATATATAGATACATGAAAATTTCACTGAATGTTCAGATTAGCAATTCCTATACACTGTACAATTTTGAAAATATTTCGACTCTTTTTGAGCTGTTTACGGACATTTTCAGTTTTCAATTTTTTTAGTTTTTTTTTCTATAAATATCAATAAAGTTTTATCTGTTGGGCCAAAAAGTGTAAAAATTTAATACAAGGTTCCTGATATATTGTTACAGTAGCAATTGAAAAATATTAAAAATACATAGGCACAATTTTTTTTTATAAGCATTTAAACATCGAATTTTACAAAATTTATCAAAATCTCGAAAATTATCAATCATTGTAATTAATAAATTATAAAATGTTCAGTTTTTATAGCTAAAGATTGCAAATTTAAAACAAAGGTTCTCATAAATAGTTCATACTGTAACCAAAAAATCTAAAAAATATATGAACACAGTTATTTTTTACCGGCATTTTAAATTCAAAGTTGACGAAATTATATATTAAAATCAATATTAACGATCTTTGTTTTTGTTGTAATTTAAAAATATTATTCGGGGATATATGAAACTGAAAAATCAAAATATTATGGCCTATCCATACAATCTACCATAATATAAGGAATAAGAATTATGATAAGACTGTGCATATTTTAAGAAATGTATTCATAAATTCCATATAATTTAATACCATAGATATATTTATATATATATATAATATGTCTTAAACCTAGACTGACATACCGTCTTTGCTCAGAATCGTTTTTCTTATACAATGATATTGTATCATTGAATTCAAATTCAATAGCATCCATTATACAGTGACCCACTTGTAACCTACTGTACAGCAGAGCGACATCCACTTACCCACCTTTTTAATATTGAATAAATGTTATAATTGATTTTTGAGGAATATGCGAGTTCCGTAGGTATAAACAATAATGGTATAGGCTATATTAAGCTAGGTATAGTCTTGTTATTGCTTCGCTCAGATAAAGTTTAACTCAAATTATTTATATTAATATTATAATATAATAACTTGATAAATAAATACTTTTTCTGTGGCCTCGATTGTAACAGTGATATTTTTTAAAACAAATGGTGTTTCTGGGTCGTAACGCAGACAGAACTTGCTAAATACAATTTGTCCTTTATTTGGCCATTCTTTGGGTGGTTTTTTGTCTAAAAGAATTGTTTAGAAATACAAAATATGTACGTTAATAGATTTGTTCAGTTAAATTTATTGTAAGACAATTTTAACAGCTATTACTTGGAGCTGATTCAAGAGCTAATTCTTGTGGTACATTTGTGTATTCTAGAACTCTTTCAACTGATATCATTTGATTTTCCAATTCTGCAGACAATCTTACTACCCATTGGAACATACCAGTTAATCCAATTGCTTGTGTAATAGCTAAACCAACATTTCCACCATGTGTATCTGGAATAATATATGTATTAAATAAATATAATCAAATACTTATGTGAATGATTTAGATTTCATTATTACTAAATACTTACCATTAACCACGAAAATGAAGAAAAATGCTACAAGACTTGTATAAAAAATGCAAACAATATCTAACCAAAACCCAAATGCTCTACTTAAACTCATAAATAAATACCAAGCCGAAGAATGCAAATCCTAGAATGTTTATAATATTACAATATATTGTATACTCAAACTTGCGTGGGAAATGGCCAATGGGTATATCATATTATAATCGATAGACTCTCACTTGGTGGCTCGAAAACTCTTGGGAAAGTATTTGTTCTACATCAAATGCTCTTATTGTTGTCAGTCCTTGAAGTGATGAATTAACATGAGTAAACATAGGACTTCGTGCTAAATTGGTGATTTGTAAAATGCAAAGTATATTGTACCATAGTCCATAATAGCGTATTTGTTCATAAATGAATAATGTCTTAAACAATTTAAAGCGTTTACAAAACTTACCGACTCCCTCTAGACGTTTAACATTGCGAGTTGTTGTCATGTACATTTTTCTCATTTTGAAAAAAACTATTATTATAACCAATGTTGGTGGCATTAAATAGTAATTGACAATTCCCACCACTATTAATATTCCTACCACCGTCAATCCGATCTAATAAAATGAAAATATAATATTTTATCATAATAAAATATAAATACATATTAAATTGAATTATATTGAGTACTTATACTATAGATACTTCCAAATAAAAATAATAATATATAATATATTTTACTTGTACAACGTCAACGAATATTGGAGGCAATGTTTCATCAATAGCCCCTATGTCTTTTGAAAAACGATTTAGAATTCGCCCTAATATTGAAGTGTATGATTAAAATGTAATTTGAAACAAAAAAAAACAAATACAATTTTAATACGTACCTGCTGGATTTTTATTCAAAAAGTTCATTGTTGCTCTTGTAATCGAATTGAACATTTGATTATGTAAATTTGAAGATGCTGTGGTGCATATAGATATCATCAAAGCCAACTCGGCAAAGGCAAATATGATAATTAAGAGTGTAAGTATTGCAAATACTACGACACAAGTTTGTCTCGATACAATCCACGACATTAATTTGGCAGTCGGTTGGATTGTTGTAAACGTAACATTATTAGTAGCCACGAATTGTTCAGTTACACGAAAATAATGATCTTCTAAATCAACCCTAAATACAGATAGATATGATGATAAACCACATAATACTACGTCCTGCAGTGTCGTGTTTAGGGAGTGGGGCAACGGGGGAAGTTTTCTCGGGTGGTAAATTGTTGTAGTTGTTTAATTTAAGTTTTTATAATTTTAAAGAAAGCTTGTCTTATGTCACTGTGGTCGCTGATTAGTGATTCCTAATACACAATTATTTTTTTTGTGTTTCACAGTGTTATAATTAGATAAGGTAGGCTAAGAGCCTAACGGGGTAAGTTCCTAATCGTTTTATAAAAACGTGTTATATGCCTCACGATCTACAGACATTTTTCTGCTGAGTTAGCTGGTTAGGTTAAAATGTTTGTTCAGAATCAAAAATAGACAACTAACTTTAATTTTGTCAAAACAATAAGTTAGTAAGTTAGCAATAAGTAAGTTGTGGTAAAATTCGTATGGTGTATTGTTATCGTAAGTATTATATTCGTATTATTTTCGAATTATTGACAAGTGCACGCGCGCGTAGGAGAGTGCGGTACCAGCATCGAATTTCACTCATACTAATAATCATATTATACAACTAACACATAGATTCTGGGTGGGTATAAGACGATATTAGAAATTCCCTAAACGTTGTCCCTTAAATAATAGCCATAGAGAGGCCCCTTAAGTTATTTTGTTTGAAAACGAATAAATATAGGTACACATTTGACATTACCAATAAGTTATCCAGTAATCACTGCCGGATGCAAGTACTTGAGTAAAAATGCACACCGACAATAGACTCAGTACTTTACAATAACGGCCACCGGCGAAAATATACGATGAATAGATAGAAAATCCGACATTCCCCGAAGAACGCGTTTCAGCCATGTTAACCGGTTTGGCGTGAACATCGTTGGTCTCGGTTTCTTGGACAGGCGACTCAACATTGGATACTGACAACTTTCGTGCAGTATGTGGGGAATGTATTTCAGAATTTTCGATGATGGATTTTTCATTTTTACACTCATTGTCGGCTAAAACTACAGTTTCCATTGAAGATCCCAGTAATTTCGTAAAGTCTAAGCCAGAGCTTTGAAGTTCTTGATATGAACCCTCCACTGTAACTTTTGCCTGAGGTACCAAAAAAAAAAACAAACATTTTCAGTTACAACTTACTGTGTGGTCTATTTAACGTAAGACACTCATTGTTTCAGAAGACATCAAAAGTTTAGAAAATATTTATTGTACATAATTTGAAGTCATTAAAAACAGTATTTATTTTTTAAATGAGAGGAGTAGCGGCCAATATTTTGAGGAGTGGAGTGGTACAACATTAAATACTTATAAGTGACTTATAACTCATAAAGTCATAAACTATACTCGTCTAAATTTAAATAAATAATTTAATATAACTATTTTAGTTAAAAAAATAAAAAAAAATATAGATAATGACATAAAATTATCAAAACAAAATATTTCCAAAAACGTTAATAGTTTTTAAAATAATTAGTGTCTTACGTTAAATGTACCACTCGGTAGGTATAATATTACATTATACAAGTTTGAAAACTATACAGAATAATATTTTAATTTATTATGCTTACGTTTTCCATTAAAACAATTTGATCTACACTAGTCAAGTATTGTATTTGATGGGTTATTAGTATACAAGTCTTTTCTTTGAGATACTCTTTGAATAAAAATAATAACAGATATAGATCAATATGAATATGTAGGTAATTACAATTTTTAAAATACATAGGTATGACGCAAAATATAATTTAAACACTATAATTACCTTTAATACATTTTTCAAACAAATGCTTGCCAACACGAGTGTCCACCGCCGATAAAGGGTCATCCAATAAATATATATCGGCTTGTTTGTATATGGCTCTGTCGTAAAATATATCAAAACGTTACAATAATAAAACGAGTTCATAATGATCAAAAGTGTCAAGTTATATTATCACCTCGCTAAATTTATTCTTGCTCTCTGTCCACCACTGAGAGACAACCCTCTTTCACCTACAACCGTCTGATCGCCATACTGAAATTGCTCAAAATCTGTTTTCAGCGCACATACATCTATTACCTATGCGTCATAATCGAATGATACAAATTTATTATATAGGGATATAGAGTACGTAAGAGTGTAAGTACTAAATAATTTTGTCGTTCATAGATCACACATTTTTTTAATATAAAATATAGAAATCGCTTACTTTGTTATAACGGTACTTGTCCATCGGTGAACCAAAAATAATATTCTGTTTAACAGAACCTGAGAATAACCATGGCTCTTGCGATGCGTACGACACTATACCACGCACGGAAATACTTCCATCTACAAGTGGTAGTTCCTGTAAAATAGCTTGTACCAACGAACTCTATAAAAAAAAAAAACATCCATCGTTATGATATAATATATTTTATTAATTAGATCGTTCGAGATAACTTATATATTATTAAATATACTTTTCCTGCCCCTACTGGACCAATTATTGCGACCAATCGACCGGGCGTTACGGTTAAATTGATATTTTCTAAGGTATTGTCGGTTTGAGCGTCTGTCCACTTGGCTGAAGCATTCGACATGACTATGCCGAAATTACTTGATTGTACTGCAGTATCGTGGCCATTACTTATGTTATTCGACACATCACCGTCGTTTATTATTTTTCTACAAACATCTGTTGATTTTATTTGGATGGTCGCTTGTTTATCATTTTCTTCGTATAAAAGGAAATCCTAAAAAAATATTCTGTTTTTTTAATATACGGAGAAAAATTAGTATTATTTACAAATAAATCCATGTACACCTCAATTCGTTTTATTGACACTAGCAATTCAGCAGTTAGACCAATGCCCGGTGGAAAGGCTACAGTCAATGTTCCTCTTAAAATGTTATAATAAGAAGTGATTACAAACACCTAAACCCAATATAAAATTATTAAATATATTTCATTCGAAAATTAAAAATACAATAGGAAGAACTAAAATATTACCTTCGATGCTGTTATATTGTTTCCAAATAATATGTATGCAAATAAATTCACAAATAATGAGATTCTAGTGTTAAATAGAAAAAACGATGACAAAATTCCTTTTACATAAGCCGATTCTATAATTTTGTTCATTTCTTTCCTATAATATAATGTCATTATATTTATTTCTATTTAAATTCGTCTACATTTATTAGGTACCTATATTAAATTATTATTATTATTATGTACCCAGAGTAATTTCTTACTTTCTAGCATATTTTGTGAGATTATTAAAAAATGGTTCCCAAGTGTACATTTTTATCACTTGTAAACCCGAAATGATTTCGTTCATTAGGTGTACTCGTTGGTCCGTTCTTTTTGCTGTTTGTAATCGAATTTCAGACGTTTTTGACCCCAGCCATACTTAAATGTCAAACAAAATAATAATTTTTAATTAAAAACAATTAGGTATAAGTATGCTTTATTTTTTAGAATACATTTTAAATTATAGAATCAATTGGTTTTGAATTGCGATAATTAATAATAACTTCCATACTATAAATACAAATTTAAACTAAAGATGAAAAACATTTACAAAAAATTATGGTATTAAGTATATGTTTATCATAAAAATAGTGATGAATAATAGAAATATCTGAGGTATGGACTAAGGGTATAGTCCGCAATAAATTTAAAGTTTATTTTTCACAAATATATTAATACATATATAAGTTATAAAGTAGATATATATATTATTTTCAAATATAATTATTTAAAATACAACTTGATAATTAGATTTACTCCAATTCATAGGATACCTATTACCTACATACTAACTTTGTAATGGTATAAAAATAAGCAACGTAGCAACACCAAGTACTGATGACACACCAACTTCTTGCCATAAAAAATACGTCACTACGATTGTTTCTATAGGACCAATCCACAGAAAAGGCACATACAAAAGTGATATGTCAAATCGATTTACGTCGTTTGACATGAGGTTTATTATTTGACCGGTCGATGTCTGATCGTAAGAATTAGATTTCAGTCGCAACGACTAAAAATAATAATGATAATAATTTAATATAATGTAATACGATTATTGAATCTTTATGTATCTTATGTTTATACTTAACAACAGAATAATTATTATTCTCATCCATCGTTATGTTTAAGCATTGGATAAATAATATTATAATGTACCTTTTTGTAAATAATATTGCAAGTCGCCACACGAATTTTCATTGCAGTATGAGATATTATCATATCAAAACTGTTATAAAGAATTGACCTCGTCAATAAAACTGTTATTAAGCCAATTGCTAAGTAAATTCCATCTAGGCTTTGATTAACTGATTTATTAGTTTCAAAATGTACTACTATTTTTCCAACAATAGTCGATATACCAATGCTATTCAAATATAATATGAAGAAAAAAAGGTTATTAGTATACCAAATCGATATAGTAATGTAATATAGGTACCTATACTACAATCATACATAAAATATTAAAATAGGTAATAAATAATTAATGTTTCTGATATTATGCATACACACTAGGCATCCCTACATTTTATTTACCTTAAAAAAATTTCTAATATTGTTAATAGAATTCCAGTACAAAAAAACTTTGTTCCAAACATTTGAATTAGTGTCCTTAAAAAACTCGGCTTTCGATTTTTCTTTTTTGAATTTATCAATTCCTCCTTCCATAACCTTGGAAAAAATGTAATAAATAGATAGAATTACTCTTTATTTTTGTATTCGTCACATGTATGATGAATCATTAATTACTTTTCTAATTTGTTGCCCAGTAATGCAGATGAATCTTCTTCCAAAATTGTGTATAAATCGATTAAATCTAATTCTTTCTTTAATCCCTTTTTAATAAGTTTTAAAATCCAACTTAAAAAAAATGCACATAATTTATTATTGTAATAGTTAATATTTATTTAATACTTAAAATAATATGATGTGTATGTATAGGCGTATAGCATTTACATTTTGTAGAGATATTGTTATTGTTATAAATAAATGGTTTCATGACTACATATCAAAATAATAAATATATACATCGTACAATGTAACCAAAGCAAAAAAAAAGTCATTAATAGTAAGTTGGCATGCATTTTTAAAAGAGCATTCGATATAAAAATTTTAAAATTTAATGGTACCCAAAAGCGCTAATTGCATGATTTGTATTCATATAACCCAAAAATGTAAAACTGATTTGTGCTTATGAACTTTTACAATGAGATAAACGCACACAATTCCGTTTTATTGTCTGGTCCTCATAGATAACTAAAACCAGTTGTTTATTAATTGTAATTTACTTGCAGAAGCTCATGCTAACCCAACAATAATTTTTCTCATAATGTTTAAAAACAATGGTAACTTTTAATAATTAACTGTTTAAGTACCTACCTACGCAAAGTTCAACAGAGTACCTAAAAATAGTTAGGTATACCTATTGGTCCTAGGTAGGTTATAGGCTATATCAGTAGTCGTATCCCCCCTCCCCCCTACCAAATGTTGTACACAATACAACATGTATAAAATAGTATGAATATAATAAATTATGTGTAATGTGTATACTGAATACGTTTACTAAAATCTCCACCCTCCAAGTGAAAAATCCTAGATATGCTACTGATATAAATCAATAGAATTGTCTTTATTTGTACCTATGCAGCATGCAATAATAATAGTAATTCATTACTAAATGTAATACATTTATACCTAAAAGTAACGACTTCAAGAATATTAGCTTTAGCCCTTGGATTGAATGGTTTTTCTTCTTTGGAAGTTGCGTCCATATTTATAATCTAAAATTGTAAAAAATATTCATTGTATATGGTATTGTGGACCTTGGGTAATTTTTTTTTTAAAATAAACTACCAATCACAAGAAAAGAAAATCGTTCCTATTTTATTAATATTTTTCTATTTATATTATAATCTTGGTAGGTACCTAGGACGTTATAACAGTATTGATGATACATTATTGTAATCTAATTATTTCTGCCAAAAATATGATATCTTAGGTAAAAAGTATAAAAATAAAATGTATAAGTATAAAATATAATAAACTAACTATAATACCCATCATAATAATATATTTTAAAATCTTCCCCTGCAAACATCAGTATAAATTTAAAATAAAATAAATGCTACAGTTTCATGATTTTTACAAAAATAAATATTGTATATGTACCTAAGTACCTACTTAACATGTGAAGGTTGTCTATAGGTACCTACTATAAAAATTATATTGAGTTAAAAATTTAAAATACTGATATTACATTAGGTGGGTGGCTCACTTTTCGACCAAAACTTACCGTTCTCTTTTTGGCCACTGTCTCTTTTCAGCCAGTACTTACAGGTTTCTTTAAAATTTACAATTATAACAACTGAACTTAAGAATTATTATAATTAATTAAATATGATTGTATCTAAACATTTTTGGGTTTTTTTTTATTAACATTATTATATACCTACAACTGTGTGAAAAAATAATAAAATAAAAATATTGACAATAAACTGTTATAACTTATAACACATTACATTAATGGAATAAAAATGAATACCTATAGCCTTATAATACATAGGTATAATAGGTATATATAATATTAATTATGATAGTAAAATATGCATTCATGAATATGACGTAATAACTAATAATATATAGGTAATAATAATTATGATAATAAAATATGCATTCATGATTATGCCGAAAATTAAGATTAAGTTTTATTTTTTATAATTGTATGATATTTGTTTGACAAACGAATAACGACATATTTTAGCATTTTTGTAGTTTTCATGTAAGCTTAATTTAGTCTTTGCCGTTCCACATTTTTTGCATCATACGAGGGTTTTTAAAATGTTGATACTTTTAATTTTTATGTGCCTATATAATATCTGTTTGAACTTCATTAATAAGGACGGTTGTTATAACTGTATATTTTGAAGAAAATTGTAGGTACCTACTGGTCGAAAACTGAACGGTAAGTTTTGGCCAAAAAGGGAAGGGTACATTTTAGCCGAAAACGATGACGCTATAGGTATATCGGTAGTAAAATGTTTAAAAGGTAAAGTTGTAAAATTTTTTTTATGGGTATAACCTAATAATAACCTACGAATATTGCGTATTTTACACATTTTGTTTGTTATAATACCTACTTAATATGGACTGCATTCGAATATCGAATTTGTACCCATATCTAACAATTTACATCCCAATTTTTTCCCGATAAGACTTTTAAAAAGAAGAAATACAATCTAATAATATTATTTAACATTAATAATAATATAACATATTATGCAAGGGTTAACATAACATTTTTAAATAAGTAGCTGAGAAAAACTAAAATAAATTCTAAACACTAATAGATACCACACTAAATATTTCAGTTCGATAACGTTGTATTGAAATGGGGTTTTCGCTGAATGACAGATAGTATTTAAATACATATTTCAGATAAATTTCAAATTTTTAACAATTCCGATACGCGCATGCCCGATACAACTTTTTTTTTTAAATGGTAACATCAATTCTTTTTTTACATATTCGAATAGAGTATTTTTTTCTAAACAATTTATGTATAAAAGGTTTTTTCTCTAATTATAGAATTGGCATATGAAATTTAACGATAACATTTAATATTTACGAGTAATTTGTTTTTCACGAAATTGAAACTAAATTCTACTTATTGTTACTTATCAGTGGCGTGTAACATAGGGTCCAAGCGTGGCTCAGGCAACACCTTAAAATATATGGGTGGGTGGGTATTGATAGAAGAAAAATTTGAAATTGTATAGGTCGGTATAACAGTATTATGAGAGGTAGGTCCCCTAAAATTATTTGAGCAACACCAATTTTTTTATGATACACGCCACTGTTACTTATTAATATAATAATATCCAATATTGTCAAATACCTGTTTGCACACAGATGAGATAGTAAAAATAACTTTGACAACATTTGCCAGTAATTAACTATTAAGATAGTATAATTCCTGTTCATTATACATTAATTACTCGTAAATATTAAATTTCATATGCTTATTTTGTAATTAGAAAAAAACTTTTTATACATAAATTGTTCAGAAAAAAATACTCCATCTAAATATATAAAATAAAATTGATGTTACCATTTAAAAAAGGTAAGTTGTATCACGCATGCACGTATCGAAAGTGTTAAAAGTTTGAAATTTATCTGAAAATGTGTATTTAAGTAGGTACTTCTGTCATTCAGTGAAAACCCCATTTCAATACAAGGTCATCGGACTGAAATATTTAGTGGTAAGTAGGTACCTCTATTAGCGTGAACACACAGTATAGTAAAAAAAATAAAAATGAATAATAATATGTCATACTTATTAGCTATTATGTAGACACTTGATAGTCCTGGCCTAACCTAACCTAACTCTTGTAAAATGTGAAGAAAAATTGAAAATGCTTTTAAAATAATCTGGGAACCAATTAACCGTTAATAGGTACTTACAATATTGGATGTTATTGAATGGTAGGTATCTTATATACCTATCTCTTAAAATTTAACTACAAATGATAATTATTTAACCTTTTTTTTAGAGAAACTGGTGGTATAGGTAGTTAGGTCTTAGGTACCAACCTATAATATGTTATTAATAAAAAAAACTTACATTTACAGACGTCTTATTATTTTAATCAACGCACATATTGTGTAATTTATTAAGTTCAATAAATATATTATACTGATGAAAATGTAAACGAAACAAAGCCAGAGACGTTCACATCTACAAATCAATTGATTAAAAATAACTGTGAAAACAATTAATTAATGCTTAGCCAACTGCCTCGACTATAATTGTCAATGACAAATTAAAATCATAAGTATCATACATGTATTATACTATTTGTGGTGGGAATCTTAATAAGTATAAGAACTCTGTGCAATGGCGACCGCATAGTCCGCATAGTATGAATTTATCGCAAGATATTGGTTTTAATTGTTTCCTAAGAGTATTCCTATATTATATTATTACATGTGATTAAAATGTTGTACTTTGTTTTCTTTAAAAATGTATTATAATATCTTACCTACAACTTACACACGTTTAGAAAATCATAGTTTTATATTCATAAGTAATGAGAACTTAAAAATATATTTTACAATACTTACAAATATAGTGAGGTAGGTAGTAGGTACTTTTACAATAATATTATGTGGGGGCACTTATCCAGGAGATAGTAGACGCCCCCGTAATTTTCGAAGGACCTTTCCATAGAACCGTGTTCCTTGACATAGCCATATAGGTAACAAAAATAAAAATAAATCCTGGATACGTGTTCTCAGTGGTGCACACAAGATTTTTTTCTGAGGAGTTTGAGCTACTAATAATTTTCCTTATTACATACTATATACTAATACTAGAGGTGAGTGGTATTTTGTAGAAATGCATTTTCATGAAGAAGGACATAAGTGTGACCCCTTAACCCCCTGTTGTACGTGCCTGATTATGTGTAGTAACTAGAAAGCTATTATTATCTTGAGTATATAGGTACCTGCATACACGTTATTATTACATAGGTAGGTACCTATATTTATATATTAAAGGTAGGTAGTAACTTTATTTACATTTTCAATTCTTAGATGGAATTATGAGAAAATGATAGTGTGCTATGCAATGAGTAATATTATATCATTTGTATCAGCCATTAGGAAGGATTTCTGATAGAATTTCTGAGGAATCGTATAGGTGTTTGACACACCCACAACACCCTGTAGCTTCACCTATATACTATAGTATATATAGTGCAGTAAGCGAATATCGGTAGATAAAACTACGAACAAACAATATTTGTATGTTAAATTATTGGTATTCGTTCAGATTTCATTATAACACATGTTCGTGTTCGTGTAGGTATATTTATTTAATTTATTACTATTTTAAAATCATATATCTATATTCCATATACGTAAGTACCAATTAGTCAATAACTATAAATACATTTATGTTTTATAATCTCCTTAATCCTTATCATAGATACGACAAAATATTATCTTTAAAATTTAACTCTGTATAATATTATAACAATTTATGGACATCTTATGAAGTTAATTATATTTGATGACACCATCCAACTTTACTTGATGACATATTAAAGTAAATACAGCGTGGAAAAAAACTTGAGGTTTGTCAAGGTGAACACTAGCAGAAAACGATCATGAATATTTAAAAAGTAATATTATATGTATATCAGTAGATAATCAACTCCGTTTATTCAGTGGTAATATACGCCTGACGGTAAGTTGTTTTGCATATCTAAGTTGCCTAACTATTTGTAACTTGTGAGCAGTTGGCAAGTTCACGTAAATAAACCTATATTTTAGTTGTGCGCATATGCGTGTCTACAGGTCGTTCCAGCCATGCACGGGCAAGACCTTGCACAATTTGATAACAAATTAATGATTGTCAATACACAACAAATAGCGCTAATCTTTAATTACAGTGTACGAGTAGGTAATCATGCACCGTGCGCGGGTAGGTAGTATCATAGACTTATTAAGAAATACATTGTTTATATTTCTTAATATGACTATGGTACGTATAATATACAACATAGCATTTTGCACATTTTTCGGTTTTTTCTAGGGTATGAATATCGACCGTTTCTAAGGAGTTCAATATAGGCAATTTTCTATTTGTATGCATGTGGGTCGTGTAAATGAGTGCGTAGGAAGTGATCATTAAAATAAATAGCGGAGCTCACCCGCAAGACGCATATTATGTCAGTAACGACTAACGCAGCACGTCTTTACACATTAATTA